GGCTGGCTGGCATGTGGTGCTGGGGGATTGAACCGCGGTCCCTGTGCTTTGCTAAGCTTGTTCTAAGTAGGTGCTTTAGACCACTGAGCCATCTTTCCAGCCCCTGGACACGGTATTGTGTCATTGTCTGTGTGTGTCTCCCTTCACCTTCTAGATCCACAGTCCTGGTCCTACTCGTGGGTGTCCCTCACATACCTAATGAGTCCTGTGAGCATGACTGCTCCAGCTGGGGGTGACTCAGAAAGGTGTGAGCAGTGCTTGCTGCACGTTTGGCCATGTGTGGCGTCAAAGCACACGTGCCCACCATTTCATGTGAGGATGGGAGGACACACAGCAGGAAACTTGAGACTTGCAGTCAAGACACTTGGCATGTGGCAGAGTCATGGCTGGTGGTGTGGCCCCCTGTGACAGCTCAGCTCACCCCATGGAGGAAAAAGTGCTTTCTGCACTCTCTTTAACCACACTTGGTTTTGTACAGGTCACTACAAATGGCATCATTGCCATGAGCAAACCGCCTGCCAAAGAATCTCATCCTGGGCTCTTCCCACCCACCTTCGGCGCTGTGGCACCTTTCCTGGCAGATTTGGACACAACTGACGGGCTTGGAAAGGTGTATTATCGAGAAGACCTGTCCTTCTCTGCCACTCAGCTGGCAGCAGAATATGTCCAGAGGGGCTTCCCGGAGGTCTCTTTCCAGCCCATCAGTGTGGTGGTGGTCACCTGGGAATCCGTGGCCCCCTACCAAGGGCCCAGCAGGAACCCGGCCCAGGAAGGCCAGGTAAGCACTGCCCAGGCATGAGTACACATGGTGTAATGCGCTGACTTTATTCTCTGCTCTCCTACTGTAGGCACCTCTGTTACTGATCAGGAAGGGAAATCTAAAGCAAAATAGACTAGGCTGGTCACTGCAGACATGCAATTTCCAGAAGCTTCTCTGCAAGCGTGTATAAACCTTGTGCTTCAGTGATGGTCAGATATAAACAAAGCCAGTTCCTGAGAAGATTCCTATAGGACAGAAATAGAACTGGTGGGTTGAGGACATCGCTCAGCGGCATAAGCACCTGACTGGTAAACTCGATCCTGAGTTTGATCTCCGGCACTGCAAAATAAAGTACTTAAAAATAGGTTTGGTGGACAGCAGCCCCTGAGTGTTGGTCCTTCAAGTGGCAAATAGCAGAAGGCTAGCTTCGGCTTTGCAGACGCCTCTATCCTTCCTCTTAGTCATTTGTTGCCAACCATGGTTAACCCCACTGTGTTCTTCGATATCGCTACCGACGGCAAGCCCTTGGGCCGCGTCTCTTTCGAGCTGTTTGCAGGCAAAGTTCCAAAGATGACAGAAAACTTTCGTGCTCTGAGCACTGGAGAGAAAGGATTTGGTTATAAGGGTTCCTGCTTTCACAGAATTATTCCAGGATTTATGTGCCAGGGTGGTGACTTCATGTGCCACAATGGCACTGGCGGCAAGTCCATCTACGGGGAGAAATTCGATGATGAGAACTTCATCCTGAAGCACACAGGCCCGGGCATCTTGTCCATGACAAATGCTGGGCCAAA